GGGGGGGGGGGGGAAGAGAAAGAAAAAAGGGAGCGGGGGAGAGAAGGGCGAAAGGGGGAATAAAAAAAAAAAAAAAAAACCTATTAAAAAAACCCCCCGGAGAGCTGTGCGGCACTTGGGGAGAGGAGCCGGCGTGCCGCTCCGCGCCGTGCAGCCGAGGTAAGTTTGGCGGCCGCCCGCGCTCCGTGCCCGGGCAGGGGTCGCGCCTCGGCGGAGCGCGAACAATGGGGCGGGCGGGGAGCGCCCCGCGGGTGCACCGGGCGGGCGGGGAGCCGGGCCTGGCGGCGGGGAGGCGGCCCCGCGCCGGGAATGTCCTTGCAGGGGCCCGGCACCGGGACGAGTTGCCGCGGCGTGGGGCCGCCGGTCGCCAAAACAAAAGGGGCCGGGGCTCGGGGCCGGGGCGGCGGCTGCCCCCGGGCGGGCGGGCAAGCGCCGTCGGGGCGGGCGGGCGGCGAGCCCCGGGGCCGCGGGCGTGCGCTTGGCTGGGGAGACGCGCGGGGGAGCTTGCGGCCGCTTTCCGTGCTGCGGGAAGCTCGCCTGGGTGGAAATTCCTTGTGTCTGGGTTTTGAAAGCCAGTTGGGACCGGGGCCTCTCTCGGCAGGCAGGAGGAAGGAGCGGCCCCCCGCCTCCTCCCGCTGCCGCCCTCCCTCCCCCCGGTGCATCTGTCCAGGAAGCCGCTGGGCGGAGGGGAGGGGGCCGGGGGCAGGGGCCGGGGGGGTGGAAGGGGAGGCCCGGCCGCCGCTCGCCGCCCGCCGCCCGGTCGCCTTTGTGCGAGGGGAACGGGGAAAGCGCTGCCCGGCGCTGCGGAGCGGAGCGGGCGGAGCGCGGGGCTCGAGCCACTCCAGGAATGTAAACACGCGCGGAGCCGGCCGGCCCCGGCGTTGCCCGAACCCCGCGCTGCTCCGCTGCTGTTCCGGGCCGGTGGCGGCTGCTTGGGGCCACAACCGGGATTTTCGACTGCAAACTTTGTTTCGCACGTGGGAAGTTGCATTTCGGTGCTGCTTTTTGGGCTGCTATGAGGGGCGCCGGAGCGGGTGTCGCTTTTCGGGTTTTGTTTCAGGCAACTGCAGACAACATTACCCAGTTCTTAAAGGTGCAATGTGCGCGCTGGGGGAAGCGGAGCCCCCAAAGCGCGGAGGAACGGCTTTGTGCGGGGCGCGGGGTCCCGCTGGGCAGAGCGGCGGCGGGGAGAGCGTTCCCTATCGCGGCCGTGCGGAGAAATTTCCCGAGACCGCAGCGAACTTAAGGCACAGCCCCGCGTTCCCGGCTGCCCGTGCCCGTGTACATTTCTGTGCTTCGGTTAATAATCTGCAAACGGCTTAATGGCTCCGGAGTGCCCCAGTAGTGGGTTTTCTCCATTGACTCGCGCAGGCCCGAGCGGAGCGCTGCCCCGGCCCTTTCTCAATGCGCTGACATGAGAGAAGAGGATTTGACTTGGCAGCCTGAACAAATGCTCTATCAAAGGTTTCCTAAGAGACAGTGAGAGAGCGGGGGAGATGAATGACCCGAGGGAGTTGTAGGGTGCTACCTATGCAGGTTTCCTTTTAAATACGAAGTGGCCATTTAGGGTTCTGAATAAAACTGCGCGCATCAGAAAGGCGACAGGCTTATAAAATTTAAAAGGGCAGAAGCCCATTAATGCTGTGGCGGAGCTCTGGCTCCCAGCTCTGCTTGAGTGCTTCCAAGCGCCTCGAAGTGCCAAAGCTTTTAAGGAATCCTGAGCAGCGACTCCCCCGGGGCTGGGGGACCTCGACCTTGCGTGCGGGCGGCCCCTCTCCCCGGTGGGGACTCGGACGTGTGGGGACGTGGGCTGGGGACACTCAGGAGTGGGAGCGGGCGCGGTGCAGGGGCACGCGGGAGCCCCGCAGTGGGTCCGAGGCTCTGCAGACGGGGTCTCGGAGCAGGGAAGTTTCATAGGTAGCAGAATGAAATGGTAGTGCCCCGGCAGCCTGTGGGAGAGCAGGGGTCTGCTCATCAATGGGGATGCTCTCTGGTTCAAACTTCCCCTTCCTTCTCTCGCTAGAGATAAATTTACTATGGCATCAATCTTGTCTTGGCGGGCCCCGATTCAGGTTTGTGAATGCCAGAAGACTTGCTCTGACCTTTCTCTGTTCAAGTTGAGGATGTTGAAACACCAGCCATCAAACAAAAGGCACATTGAAAGCAGGCTCTGCACCGAGCACGTGTGGCTGTGGGGTAGCGGGGTGCGTCTGGGGACTGTGTGCCTGCGCTGGGCTGGGGGAGGAGAGAGAAAAGGCCGCTTATTGCTGGAATGAGAGGATGGAAAACATGACATGAAGTGCTCCAAATATCTTGGAGTCAAGGACCTGTTTCTTTGTATCTTTATTTTAAAGAGTCTTAGGAAAAATGACTTGTTCTCTACTTTTTTTTTTTCTTTCTTATTTTAATTGATGTATAATTAGCAAATAACTAATATATTTTTTTTCCTGTGGAGGCGAAGATGACCAAAATTTTGCAGAATTTATCAACTTACAAAGCAAAACAATCCCCAAAATCTTAGGAAAATTAAATGCCTTTGGGATTATGCCTTAAAACAATGAAAATTCTCTGGGATTTAGTTGACAGAGTTGGGATTTTTATCTGCTTAGGAGAGCACTACCTCAAAAAGTAGTGCAGATGTAAAGATGACTGTAAGTTGTAATTTAAACTTATTTGGGTCTGTCAGAGTTTAAAAAGAACACCCTCAGGAGCAGTCAGCACAGATGTCTAACCTGGCAGCAGCATTCCTGTCAATGTAGGCAGATGCAGTTATTGTGTACATTGTTTACGGGCCACAATACCTTAAGTAAACATTGATCATGATTAGAAACAATAATTGAGGCTGTGGCAAAGGATCAATGAAAACTTTGTTTCAGAGGAGAAGCGAGTTGCTGTGCATATATACAGAGAGCGTTTTGTGCTGCCTGAGATGTGCAGTGTTAATGCGGTGCGAAATTCCGGTTTTAGACTATTTTAAGAAATCCACAGAGATGACAGATCAGTTTTTGCATCATCTAAGAGATGTGTCCCAATCAGCGTTGGTTACAGGAGCTGAAAGGAGAGCTGAATGTGTGCATTACATTTTCATTCATAGCTTTTCTTGGGAGCTGCTCATGCTTCACCCCAAATCGCCCCCAAAGCTTTTGTGGAGACCAAAAAAAACCAAAGGAAGAACCAACTCCTCAAACGTGGGGGTGACAGTTACATCACTGATACTGCAGACTCGTTTGTAGCAGCGTGGTGTTGGCTAGCAGCTGTGGAGCCTGGTTTCAGTCTTGAAAAGGAAATGTATCTCAGAGAGGAAACAAAGTTGGAATTCCGTTTGCCTTCCCTGGTGTTTCTTATAGGCCTCAGTCCGCAGCCCAGCCCTGCAGAAAGGAGGGGAGATAAGGTGGCCAGGGCTGTGCCCCACCTGGGCACCTGCTTCCCACAGGTGCGTAGGGCTGCAGCCAATGCCTGTGGGGGCAAGAGAGACCACCGTGCAATTGGCTGATTTCTTCACTCCTCATTGGACCCATTTTTGTGAAGCCCCATCCTGTGTTACTATTGCTGAAGAGTTGAGGATGGGTTTGTGCTTATTCTCATCAACTGCCTGGTGTGGGACAAGGAGCGCAAGCGTTCCTTATGTGTTTACATCTTTTTATGAGAAATCACAATATGCAGTGCCACGATGCTGTGCGTGGGCACTGATGTACCTGCTCTTCAGATATTTTCCTTTCCCTGAATTTAGATATGTCAGCTTTCCTGCTGATGGTATTTTGAGGCTGTGTCAGTGGTATTAGGAATCATTTCTGCTTTAAAATGGTGTCTTTGGCTCAAAAACAAGGTTTGTGAATTGGAATGTTGCTTTGTCATATTGATTTTTCTTCTGCTTTTCTTTTTAAAAGCAAAAACTTCTTAGGTAGTGATTTCATTTTATTTATTTCCATTGGGCTTCACAGGATCATTAGCGTTGTGCTTGGTTAATGTTTGAAGTTTTTCAAGGTAATTGAGGCCACGAGAGAAATGGCCAGCAAGGGGTTTTAATGGATCTCCACAGCTTGACTGCTGGAGGCAGTAGTGCATTATGAGAGTGGAGGATAGTTGTACACTTGTTACATGTTATTTTGGGTTCAGCTACTTCAAAGATGTACTGGAGTTTATATGTCCTGTGAAGGTGTGGTGTGGGATCTCAGTACTGTGTTGCTATCCCTTATTAAGCAGGACAGATTGCTATGGATATTTTGTATCTGGGAGAGAGAAAGAAAAGTTATTTTTAGGTAGGAAAAGTCACTTTCCATCATTTCTCCTTCGAGCATCAACCCAGGTTAACTTTCTTGGCAAGGAGTGAGACATTAATTCTGGAATGTTCCCTTTGAGAGTGCTGCATAGGCCACCATTTGGTCTAGGCCATGATTTTTCTTCAGGTGCTTATCCTTTTTAAACCTGTATTAGAGGATAGGAAAAGCAATTTGTGCTCTTCTACTGAGTCCTGGAACATCCAAACATGATTCCTTCCAAGGGGGGGGGGGGGCTGCAGGTTGGCACTTGATGAGTTGAGATTTAGGATCCAATCAAGTATCTGCACTCAGAGACCCATGCATCCTTTCATTAGATAATTCAATACATTGAGCTGTTTCATATTTTGTGTAGCGCATTAATATTGAGGTAGTACCATGTAAGCTATCATGTTAGCATTCCATTAAGATAAATGTGAGAAGTGTATCCCTTTGTTGACAGTCAGCATTTGTTTTGACTCAGTGGAGCAGCTCTAATTCCCAAGAGAGGTGATTCCCAAAGTGGTGCAGGAGGGTTGTTGGTTCAGTATGGTTGGAGTAGAGGGAAATCATTGCTGCAAAGCCATAGGTAGGTATGATGCTATAAGTTGTGGAAGTTCATCAAAGTGATTTGGATTTTCTGTTCTTTTCCTTGTTTGTTTACATAAGGACTTTGTTTTTCCTCCTGATATACCACTTATTCATCTGTGGATGATGATGTGGATGGTGATGAGCTGATTTCTAAATCTGATGCTGTCCTGCTGAGGAGAACCCTTTCTGCAGCTCTGTGCCCTTACCTGGGCGGTGTTGGGCTGCCTGCTCTGTTGGTGCAGCCATTCTGCTCACATCTTCCCCAGATCTCCAGCTTCTGGAGACTCGGTAAGCAATAGAAGAGCAACATTG